AGACAGACAGACAGACAGACAGACAGACGAATGGATGGAATACAGACAGAGAGATAGCTAGATAGCTAGATAGACAGACAGACAGACAGACAGACAGACAGACAGACGAATGGATGGAATACAGACAGATAGATAGATAGATAGATAGATAGACAGACAGACAGACAGACAGACAGACAGACAGACAGACAGACAGACAGACAGACAGACAGACAGAGAGACAGACAGACGAATGGATGGATGGAATTCAGATAGATAGATAGATAGATAGATAGATAGATAGATAGATAGATAGATAGATAGATAGATAGATAGATAGATAGATAGATGGACGGACGGATGGACAGACAGACAGACAGACAGTCAGACAGACAGACAATAAGTTGTTTTTGTGCTCTACTGTAACAAGTGTGTGTCTGTTTATTGGCTCAGAGCCGTTGTGGTTTTATTTGATCTGAGGGCTTCAGAAGTGATTTTCTTTGTTCTTCATGAGGGAATGTGGGTCAGGCCTGATGTATGTTTGAGGAGCATCTGCCACAGAACAAGGCTCTTCATAAAACATGGCTTGATCACAACTCCTCTCTTGTTTTGGTTTTTTTCCCCTTGAGCTGTGTGCCAAGAACCGACTGGAAACTCTTACAGACCCATCCAAGGTCATGAGACCTAATGAGACGTGAAGACTCATCCGTCATCGCACTAAACCCTGATGCGGGCGATGCATTTCAAGTGATTAGGCCGTGAGCGCTGTGGCTGATGTTGATGGAGGGTCGTGTTTGTCTTGAGCTGCCGTGAGGGTCTCTTCTCTCCTGGATTGCTTACATTGGCGCTCAGGGATACTTGGAGAAGTCCTCTATTATCTGAGCAGCAGTGCAGGTGACAGCTTGTCACTGAGCGCTCGGCTCATGAGACGGAGAGAGAGAGTCACTGGACGGTGTATTAAACTCGGTCGTATTTAGAGTAGTAGTCATTATGCTGATGTCTAATAATCGGGACAAATGAGCTTCACTTTCAAATGCACAATCTTGTTTTCTTCCCACAGTGCACGCTGGTGTACGAGTCGTCACATGGAAGTGTTAATGACAAAGACAACGGACCAATAATGAATGCTGGTGAGTTAAAGAATACTTTATATTTTGTGTTTTTTACTCATATGCAGCAAAGTTTGGAGAAAGAGTTTGTGAAATCCGCCATCTTTGCTTATGGCGACTCATTTCCTCTGACAGGTTGTTTTGAATCAGTCACCCGACGCATAAATGTCATGTGACACAACACTCACAAAAAAATCAACAATGCTGATTGGCTGATGGCATCACAAAAATGTACATGATGCCAAAAAAAAATACGTCCATGTCGCACTTTTAAGAAGGAATTAGGCACTAGCAATACACTTATTCTACTGTTTAAAAGTTCAAAAAGACTTTTGTATTATTTTAAAAGAAATTAATACTTTTATTCAGCAAGGATGCATTAAACTGATCAAAAACGACAGTAAAGACTTATATAATGTCACAAAAAAGATTTCTATTTCATTTATGAATATTAAAAAAATCTCCAAAAATATTAAGCAGCACAACTGTTTTCAATATTGATAATAAATGTTTATGAGCAACAAATCAGCATATTAGAATGATTTCTGAAGGATCATGTGACAATGAAGACTGGAGTAATGATGCTGAAAATTCAGCTTTTTTATCACAAGAATAAATTACTTTTTAAATATATATTACAATAGATCGCAGTGCTTTTAAATTGTAATAATATTTAAAAAAATTTTACTGTGATTTTGATCAAATAAATGCAGCCTTGGTGAGCAAAAAATACTTTATTCAAAAACATAAAGAAAATCTTATGATCCAAACTTTTGAATGATAGTGTATAATATAATTTCCAGTTTATGTTATTCAAATATATTTCATCCGAATGCATGCTTTACATTGCTGTCAGTGGTGAATATGCTTTTTGCAACCATCTTCCATCAGCGGTTAACTGGGTCACGCTAACTAGCCAACACTAGTTCTCATGCTCTGCAGCAGCCATGCAGAATTCACTGATACATGTGATGTAATTTGTTAAATATATGAGTGTCACAGCAAAGGGTCTGAATACTTAGGACCATGTGATATTTCAGTTTTTCTTTTTTAATAAATCTGCAAAAATGTCAACAATTCTGTGTTTTTCTGTCAATATGGGGTGCTGTGTGTACATTAATGAGGAAAAAAATGAACTTAAATGATTTTCGCAAATGGCTGCAATATAACAAAGAGTGAAAAATTTAAGGGGGTCTGAATACTTTCCGTACCCACTGTATTTGATTTTGATCAAACTCCATCAAAGAGTTATATTTCATGTATGGATCAACTTTGTCTCAGAGGTTTCTTTTCAATTCTTTAGAAGAAATGCAAATGACGCAGTTGTTGAACTAAAATCAAACTATAGAGCTAAAAAAGAAAGCTCAGATCATTCAGGCTCCAGAGAATCTTATGAGAAATTTATGAGTTCATATTGAGTTCTTTGACTTTTGTTCACATGCTTTTGTGCCTTGGCGAATTTGAGCAGTTTGTGATCCCTGCTGAAACTCTAGAGATGATGCATGATGCCTTTTCTCTGGAAAACAGGAGGCCTGAGCAAACATGCTCACTGTTTAAGCTCATTACTGTCTAGGAAGCGATTTATAATGCAATCTGGTTACAGTTGGATATAACACCCAAGAAGTGACGTCATTTGAACTGCATTCGCCTTATTAAATTGATCAAAAATGAGACTTTATAGTGTCACAACGATTTCTATTTTAAATAAATGCTGTTCTTTTGACCTTTCTATTCATCAGTGATCACAAATGATTTTCTTCTGTGTTTATTCCTAGAAAATAACACCCCGATTTGTGTGATTTTACGACATTATGAAAAGAATAGTAAATAAAACATCTCATATGACCTCCTGTGGTGGACAAACAACATTTAAAGCACCTTGTTTTTTTAAATGAGCATTGTTGACTATTCTAGGAAAGTTCTCTTGGAATAAATGGTACTTAAGACTAAATATGTAATCATAAATAGTGTTGTTTTAATTTAGCATGTTTGTTTAGTGTATTTTCGGTCCAATTATGTGGTTGAGCTATGAAATAATCTGTAATGGAATCATTAAGTAGAGTCAGAAGCAGAATTGTTGAATTCAGTGTGATTCCCATCTGTATTGTTGAGGTTATGAAGTGAATTCGGCAGCGTTTGATTGCCGTCCCAGTGAGCAGTGTGATTGCTGAGGATAAATAACAGCCAGCAGCGGTGTGAAGTGCAGCTCATTACTTTAATTACCTCAGGTAACGTAGCAGATTAAACAGTATTGGGGGAATACGGTAGTTTTCAAGCCATTTCAGTTTAGTCTGTGTAAATTTGTTTTGCACACTAAGAAGAGAGTTGGGATGTGTCAGATAGTTTTTGGCACATTATTAGTGAGTGGATAGACCCGAAGTCTCCGGATGAGAAAAGTTCCCCAAGAAGCAAACTCTGTAGAAGGTCATTTCTTTATTTATGAGCTGCTGTGATATGATGGATGGAGGGGAAGTCGGGAACGGCAGACAAATCTCTCTAGAAGTCCAGGGTGTTATCTTCGTATCTGATGTTTCGCAGTGTTTATTTGTTGTCGTATCTGTAACCGTATTGAATGTCATTGCGGCTGTTGTTTTAGTCACGCCGCTGCTTGTCAAAATATGTTAGTCTCTGCTGCTTCGGTAAGAGTGACTAATGAAATTTGTCCTCATCACCCCGACCCCTGTGCCTCAACACGAACTCAAAGCACAGTCATTTCCCTAAGAGCTTGAGCAGGCAGAGATGCTGCGATCCGATTGGCCGTCGGATTAGAGGGCGGAGTCAGAGGTTAATCCTCTTCTGTGAAGAACTCAGCGCTGGATGAGGGAGTTTGAGTCCGCCTCTCCTCCGCTGGAGGTCACACATCCATCTGTCTCTGTCTTCACTCCACATCCTCAGCCAGCCTCTGTACTTTCTGGACACATTAAGGACATGTAACAATTTTGGTGGTCTTTTTTTTTTTTTTTTGCAGTGGGGTTCAAATGTCTGAGACCACTTGTGAAATTTGTTTTAATACAACATTTTCATTATAAATGAGCATGATGTCTTTTAGTATTTTGGAGTGTCCTGTTTTTGCTTAAAGGTTTATAATTAATGTCTGAAGATTGCCACTGAATTTAATAGGTCTAAATGTTCATTTTCATATATCACAAATTCAATATATATATGTGTGTGTGTGTGTGTGTGTATATATATATATATATATATATATGAAGGGTTCAGATGCAAAAGCCTTTAAGTGTCATCTGAAATTGTCTTCTAAAATTAGCATTGTTATCAGGCTTCTATATTTAGGTTCAGTATTTTTACTTAAATGGCAATATATAGGTCCTTTTCTATGCCTTTTAAGTAAAAATGCTGAACCTAAATATAGAAACCTGATAAAAATGCAAATTTTAGAAGACAATTTCAGATGACACTTAAAGGCTTTTGCATCTAAACCCTTCATATAAACAGTATATTTCGGCGTGGCATGGAGGTGATCCGTTTGTGGCACTGCTGAGGTGGTATGGAAGCCCAGGTTTCTTTGACAGTGTCCTTCAGCTCATCTGCATTTTTTGGTCTCTTGTTTCTCATTTTCATCTTGACAATACCTATATATATATATATATACTCCAGTAATCAAAAGAATAACAGTTGCACAATGGGTTTAGATTTGACTACAAATACTGCCAATGTGTGTCACAATGTTATGTTGCATGCAAAATGTGTGGCACTGCTAAATATTAAATTCTGGTCATTTAAAAGGTCATTTTATTGTTATGAAGATATAGTTTAAATATATTTATAGATATTAATATATTTAAATTATCATTTAAAAATTATAATGTACATTTCTAATTAATTGTTACATACAGGGGCAACACAACAAATTTAGCTACTTTTCATTATAAGTTCATTTTAATCATTTTCATTCCAGCCTTTGTGTTTGTTAGTCAGACTTCTCTGTTGTATACTGTATATACCACATTATGTTTCAAAGCCCCATGTTTAAGCTCTTAAAGAGTAACAGTAGATTTTTTTGTATTTAATAAGAATCTCATGCTGCCACCACAAAGGCCAAAAATAGTGAAAATGTCCACTATTTAAGCAACTCTATAATGAGGAAAAGTAAATGCTCGGTTGAGACCTGCAGATTTCCCCTCAGGTCCTGCTCTGTTGACTCGCCTGTATTGCCCAGCGTTGACGAGAAGCAAGATTTCATGCCATAGAGGAAATAACTTCTCCCACTGCCACCTCACACTTCTGATAAGAGCGTGTTCTGCGCTCTCATTCACGGCTATCCAGAACCATTCCCTCCGTCTCTCTTCACAGGACTTAGTTAGCAGCTCTTAAGGCAGTTTAAATAGCGCTGTGGAAAGTAGAAGGCACTTTTCAAATGCTAGGATATCTGTCAGACAACAAAAAATATTTCCAAGTCTTCTGAAGTCACACAATAGCTTTGTGGAAGGAACAGACTGTCGTTATTCACACTCCTTTGCCTAATTGATCACTTACTGTACAATATGTCTCACTTAATGTCTCTCTCTCTTTCTCTCTCTCTCTCTCCATCAGTGTTTAAGAACGCGGTGTGTAAGGTGTACAGGTTTCAGACAGTGGACAGTAAATGGATGTTGGTTCGGGAGCAGATGGCGGAGTGTACGCTGTCCTTCAGCATCCCGAAGCAACTCATCGCCCTCTACATTCAGGAGGACACCTGCAGGTAAGAGCCATTCAGAGGCGTCAGGGCAAACAGGACAGGAGGAAGTAGTGAAGCAGACTTTGAGATTGTTAAAGCGGCACAAAAAGTAATGAGTTGTGGGTGTAATATCAGAGTTAATTTGCCTACTGTATAAACTTCTGCTGTGGCTGTTTAGTGCAGTATCTGCTGTGACGAGCCGCCTTCACTGTAAAGATGATAGCCGGTCAATACAGTGTTGTGTTATTCTGTTGTTAAACTGTGAAATCAATATAATGAAAACTAGATTTTTTTTTTATTCATGTGGCAGATCCAAAGTACCTTATACTGTCTTCAAGCAGTTTGTGTGCTCAGTGAGAATCAAACCTGAGTCTGCGACCAGGTGAACTACAGGAATATTCATTAATGCATTTTAATAGTGACAGTTTTAGCATTTGCAACAAATGCAACTTGTTTATTTTGATAAATGTCACATATTTTTCTGTTATATATACAGTAACTGAAATATTCTTCAATAACAGTACCATGCAGTGTTTTGGAAAGAAGTGTCTTCTGCTCACCAAGGCTGCATTTATTAGATCAAAATATGTTCAAAAACTGTAATATTGTCAAATATTATTACAAATTAAAATAACTGTTTTCTATGTGAATATAGAAATGTAATTTATTCCTGTGATCAAAGCTGTATTTTCAGCATCATTACTCCAGTCTTCAGTGTCACATGATCCTTCAGAAATCATTATATGATATATTCTGCTCAAGAAACATTACTATATTGAAAACCGTTGCTGCTTCATATTTTTGTGTAAATTGTGATACTTTTTCTTTGGTAAATAGAAAATTCAAAAGAGCAACATTTGAAGTAGTAACAATATAAATGTTTTATTGTGCTTTTTTGCAAAAAAAAGAAAAAGAAAAAACATTTTTTATTTCATTTTATTGAAAAAAATTAAATAATTCTTACCGACCCTGAACTCTCAACACAGAAAAATGGTTGTATTGTCTAGGATAGAACCTATAAAGCACAGTAGAAAAAATACTAAACTGACCTTTTTATTTAAAGAAAAATTAATAATTGAATTTGAACAGGTATGTTATGTGATCTGGAATGAGCATCAAAGCTTAAATTTTGCAGTTGTCATGATCAATCAGCAGGTCTTGTTTGGCTCTGCGTGAGAATGAATAAGCGGCAGAAATATTGAACTAGTGTATAATTATTTTCCTGTTATTGTGATTCATACAATATACATTCACTAACTCAATGTAAAGTGCAATTTCACAGTTGCAGTGTAATGATGGTTTAGCTATTCCACAGGGAGAAAAGAACTGTGATTTGTTTTAAAGGGATACTTCACCCAAAAAATGATCTTGTCATCATTTACTCACCCTCATGTATGATTATCTCTCTTTCATGCTTCTTAGTTTCTCCTTTATGTTATAGAATGAAAAAACTGAGTAAATGATGGCAGGATTTAAACTGTTCCATTAATTTGCGGTTGAGAAGAAACCGATCTAGTATCCAGATCTGGACGAGAATCTGTCTGTAGGAAAGTCACAAAAAAGTCTATTATATCGTGATCTGAAATCAGCAGTGAATATCATACGAATGTCCTGTGGCTGAAGTATGGTGACTGCATTGTGTGGTAAGATCCCTGGCGATTCCCGCTCCTAGAGAACAGGTTCAAGTGCAGGTTGAGCGAAGCTGGAATTGTTTGCAAGAACGAATGCGACACAAAAGGCGGTTTGAGCGAGATGCAGAGCGCTTGCAGAGCGAGGGTTTATTTCAGAGATGGAAATGGCTGTTTTAGAGCTATACTTAGCCTGCACTAAATTATTCAAGGATGTTTAACACTTCAAAGGAGAGTGCCTGTCCTCTCTCTCGGAAACTCAACCACCCTCCCTCTCTCCTGCTTTTCTTTCATTTTACCATTGCATTCTCTCTTCCCTCCATCTCATTGTGGAAGAGCTGTAACCTGAGCGTTAGAAGAGAATGGAGTCGCATGGAAGCGCGAGGTGACGAGAACAAGGGCGCGACGCAGGAAACCTTCAGTGGAAAGCTTTCTAATGCACAGCAGTCAACAATGCACTCCGACACAATGCATAGATGTTTTTAAAGAAACCGCACTGCTCAGTTCCTGTGCGTTTCAGTCAGATGAATGTGTGATCACACAGCTCAGTGAAAACCTGTGGACGTGTTTACAGATGCTGCAACAGGAGATGTTTTGGGGTTTCTGATGGATGGATGTGACATGACCACCACAGTTCAGTGTGTTCATGCTCGTCCACGTAGACGTTTCATCAGATTCTAATTTATATTCCATTTCAAGACCGGAAGTTAGCAAGCAGTATGCAGAATTCAAAATCTAATATATACACAACACTAATATACCTTATATCTTCTTATTAAAGAAATTTTGATTCAAATATATATGTTGTTATTTTATGTAGCAGTAATCTACATTTTGGAATGTGTTCTATTATTATTTATATTATATATTTAATAAAAAATGAATGCATGTTTCTGTTTGTGGAAAAAGCAGATATTTAATGTTTTTATATTTATATTTTTATATATATTCAAATCTACAGTTTTTGTATTTAATAATTATATACATTTTATAATTGTATAATATATTTAAGATTATTTTTTAATTGAAATTATATGTAAGCATATATTGCATTTCATAATCATATACACAATGATCATCAACACAAATAAGTGAGTGTGTGTGTGTGCATTTTGGTTTTCTATGCTTCTAATATTTGAATTATTGTTTTATTTAATTATTGTAAAATAATATTATAAATGTATCTTTTGTAGTTTTGTATTAATGTAACTATATAATGTTTATACTTTAATTTACACATTAAAATCTAAGATTTATTAAATATGAATAAATAATGAAAAAATATTATAAATTTAAAAGTATATTGTATAGTATATAAAAAAGTATATATTATATTCATATTCTCAATAATATAATGTCATATTTTGATATTTTTAATTGAAAAAAAATGTGGACATTTTATAGTGCTTTATCTCAAAATGTGAAAAAAATATTGGCTGTGGTTTATATTTTTTTAAGCAATGTACTTTTAGTGAAATATGTCTAATCAGAATATGTACAGTATATTCTGCATATGAGAGAATAAATAGGCACAATTAGTCACATTTTTATTTATACATTTTTTTACCAAAACTTCGGCCACTGTGTGGAATTTCTTTGAATTGCAATTTAATAAATTCCACTTACTGTCAGTTGGTTTTGAGGCCAATTCAGTTCAAATATCACACTTGTAAACTGAATGGAGTCTGTTCTTAAATTCAGGATTTTGTCCAATCCTTGCACTAAAAGCTAGATGAACCATTTGTGATCTTGTTTCTCACCGCAGAGCAGCAAGCTGAACAATCTCACAGCTTCATTTGCTCTTTGTTTCCAGCTCTCGCTCTTTCCCCAGAGTCTCAGTTTTTATGTACATGCACAACAACACTTCTCAGCATGCACAGTAATCCGCGGCAACTTCCCAAAGTCGACAGGTATTAGCATAGGCATGTTTTCATCTGTCCAGGCCGTGAGGGTGTTTGGCCATTGAAGAATCTGAGATCATTAACTCGGCGGGACACACATTCCCAGACTGGAGCGCCCATAGAACAGACCCTGCTAAGCAATTATCATCATGTGTGCATTATTCAGCGAGGCTATTTGGCCTCAACACCTGCTCTCCTGCTACAGGCAGGTAACTCAAGCAGCCATTTCTATCCCTAGACATCTAATTATCGGCCCGGGCGCCGCGGTCACCTTTAAGGCCGTTTCAGCTGCTGTTTTGGCTCTGGTTTAACCACAATCGCATATGATTCAAAGAAAAGAGATATCATGTCTCAAGTAATCGAACGCAATGTGAGGCTGATGTTTTATCATTAGCGGTGTTTGCTAAGCATCATTGTTACTGTTCTGATTCTCATCCGCCCACAACACAGACGAAACTCACATTATCTTCAGCAATTGTCAAACACTAGTGTTTGTTTGTTATGAATGAGACCTTTTGTTTTTCTGTCGCTTTCATTGGACTGACGTCAATGGAAATTCACAGTGTCGTTCACTGCATGTGTCCTTCAGAAGTCAACATGACATCCAAATTGGACCTATTTTCTTGTGTAATGCGCATTCCTGCTTTTATTTCTTTTGCGTGATTCATCGCAAAAATGTCCAGAATTTTCATGTCTTCATCATTTTTAAAAAACAAATAAGCTCTTCACCTCTGAATTGACTTTCCTTGTCAGTTGACATAGCTAGTCTTATTTATTTTCTATGCAACCCAGTTAGTTCCTGATGCATATATTGAGGCCCTGGCCTATGCTTGTTTTCCTCTGTAAGTATCTGTTTATCCTGAAATTACATTTAATATTGAAAGTTAAGTGGGTTTTAAATGCCATCATGTTGACTCTACAGAAATCAGCCTTTGGAAACCAAGAGGTCAAGTTTAAAGTAATTATGTCCATTTATCCCCCTGCTGGACTCTATTGTAACTAAACAATTTTAGGATCAAAAGTGATCTTTCTCCATTCAAAAAGCTAGCTATTCAAAACTAGCAATGTATTTAAGAAATGAAATAGCAGACTTTATTATAATAGATGTTTCACCAGTGTCTGATATTTATTTACGTATGTATAAAATTAATTAAATAAAATAAATACATTTCTTTTTAATTCTTTGATTTCAATATTTCTTGCAAGACAAAGCATGCAATTTAATGATGTTTTGCCAGTGTCCAGAATGTATTTATTTATTGTAAGACTTTTCAGTGCATGAAAGTCTGAAGTCTTAAAATAAACAGCATTATTAGCATAATAGCATTGTTACATTATATTATAATAGATGTTTTGCCAGTGTCAGATATTTAATAATTTATTTATTGTAAGACTTTTCAAAGCATGAAATTAAAAAGCATGACATTCCCCCCTGTCTGCTGTCTTCGAAGATATTTATGTATTTATTTAATTAATTATTTTTGATTATTTTTTA